TGCCATTGGAATTTTGACGGAGGTTACATTGAATCTGTAGATTGCCTTGGGTAGTTTCAACATTATAAATTCTTCCAATCCATGAGCATGGGACACCTTTCCATTTATTTGTGTCTTCTTCCATTTCTTTCCTCAATATTTTGTAGTTTTCAGTGTACAGGCCTTTCACCTCCTTGGTTAAATTTACTCCTAGGTATTTCATTCTTTTTGATGCAATTGTAAATGGGATTGTTTTCTTCATTTCTCTTTCTGATAGCTTGTTAATAGTGTACAGAAATACAACAAGATCTTTGTATATTGATTTTGTATCCCTGCAACTTTACTGAATTTGTTTATTAGTTCTAACAGTTTTTTGGTGGAGTCTTTAGGGTTTTCTATATCAACTCATCCACATACAGTGAGTTTTATTTCTTCCTTTCCAAGTTGGATGCCTTTTATTTCTTTTTTCTTGCCTAATTGCTATGACTAGGACTTCTAATACTATATTGAATGAGAGTGGGCATCCTTGTCTTATTCCTAATCTTAAAGGAAAATCTTTCAGTATTTCACTATTGAGTATGATGGTAGCTGTGGATTGGCTACCATGTTGGGAACATACTTTTAATAGGCAAAGAATAGTAGCAGCAAAAGTAGTTAGAAGTAAACTATCATAATACAAGCAAAAGATGATGGTGGTTTAGACAAGGATGAGAGGTAGTCAGATTCTGTATAATTTTTTATTATCATGATGCAATTTAATGTAACAAATTTGAGCTCAACTAAGCTATCCTATGCAGTGGAACATGCTAGGTATACAGGAGTAAACAGGACTTTGCTTACCCTCAAATCATGTTCCAGCTAGTGATATAGACATGTAAATAGCTAGTTGTAACACAAGAAAGAATGAAATAAATCTAAATAGTGAAAAATTATTTTGTGAAATCCTTGGACACTTTAAAAAGGATGCGTCTTGTGAGTTGGGCTTGAAGAGGGCAGAAGGTTTCCACAGGCAGGAATAAGAGATAATTCAGACTGAAAAAATAGTAAGAACAATGTCCTGCATTGAGCAAAAGATCTAATCTCAGTTCACTTCTTTTAGCCTACGTGGGCTGCTTAGAGTCTGCCCTATGCATATGTGGTTCAGAGGTCAGCCAGAGAATTAGGCAGAGTTTATATGCATATTCTGGGGCTCCCTCTCCCAGACCCCTTTCTTCTAGGATTTCCCCTCATTTTCTAGTGCTTATGTGTGATAAGCAGGATTCTAGGATGGCTCCCAAGATTCCTTCCACTTTTTTCCAGGAATACCACCTACCTTTGAGTTTGGACAAAACCTATGAATATGATGAGATATTACTCCCATAATTATGTTTCCTCATATGGCAAGACAAAGATTATTCTGTGTAGGTATGACCTAATAAGATGAGCCCTTTGAAAGAAAAGAATATTTCTCCAGTTGGTCACAGGGGAAAAAAGTTTAGAGAAACATGCCCTTGCTGGCCAGAAAGAAAGCAAATGGCTATGTTGTGAACTGCTTATAGGAGCCATGTGGCAAGGAACTATGGGCATCCTCTAGAAGCTGAGAGTTATCCCTGAACAACAGTTGGCAAGAAAACAGGGACCTGAAGGAAATGAATTCTTCCAGTACCAGTGAGCTTGGAAGAGGCCCCTGAGCCTCAGATGAGAATCACAGAGTGAACTAACACCATGATTTTAATCTGGTGAGGCCCTGAGTAAGGGACCCAGTTAACCTGTACTAGACTCTGAACCACGGAGAAAATAAATGGGTATTGTTTTAAACCACTTGTGATAATTTGTTACAAAGCCATAGCTGATTCACTCTACCCTAGATGCCCTGAATTCTATCCTCGGGTTCTTCAAGCAGGCAAAACTGCAGGCTTGCCGCCATCAGAATTTTAATTACTCTCTAAAATGCAGATAGAGCCTACCCTTAGGGTAAATGTTGTAAAAAAAAAAAAAAAAAAAAGATAAGAACCTTATCCTATGCCCATACTTTCTTCTGTGACTCCCCTCCAAAATCTACCTGCTCCTGTTCACTCTCTGTTGCTTTCAGGTCACCGTCTTTTACATTTTATCCAGAGTTTACAGTTGTTATCTGGGGGAGGGTTGATCCAATATAAATGCAGTTTGTTCATTCAGATTCTAGATACATTTTGAAGGCAGAATGATTATGATTTTCTGGTGAATTGGAAGCAAGAGTATGACAAAGAGAGAATTCAGATATTATCATGTGGTGTTTGGAAGCGGAAAGGATAGAGTTGCCATTTACTGAAGCAGAGAAGACTATAAATGCAAGAAGTTGCATATGTGAGTTAAGAGTTCAAGAAAGAGTACTAAGCTAGATATAGATATTTGGAAGTTGTTTTTTAAAGCCATGAGACTGAATTAAATCCTCAACAAATTAAATATAGAAGAGACCCAAAGACTGAGGCCTGGTGCAATTTAAAATTTAAAGATAAAGAGGAGAAGTGAAATCTAAAGAGAAGACTGAGAAATAGCAAATAATAGTGAAGAAAAATAATGAGAAAATAGCGACCTCAAGTCCAGTTGAAGAATGTTTCAGGGACAAAAGAATGATTATTTGCATTTAATGCTGTGCCAAGTAAGATGGATTTAGCAATGAGGAGGTAAATCTGTATCCTTGACAAGAGCAGTTTCAGCAGAGTGTTATAGGAGAAAACCTGATTGGGATGGAGGACATATGGAAGGAGAATAAGAGTCTGCAAATTTAGGCAACTCTTTAGAGCAATTTTGGTGAACAGAGAAATGGAGTAGTAGCTTGAGGAAGAAGTAGAGTCAAGAGTTTTATTTTGTTTTTGTTTATTTGTTTTTAAGATGAGAGAATTTATATGTCTGTATGTTGATGGGGTAAAACAATAGAAAGGGAATGCTGATGATGCAAAAAATAGAAGGGAGAATTATTGTCAGAGCAACGTCCTTGAGTAGATTAGCAAGGATAAGATCTAGTACACAGTGAAGGAATTGCCCTCGGATAGAATCAGGCAAAGTTCATCTGTAGAAAAGGGAGTGAAGGCAGATGATGTGAGTTTAGATATAGGTGGGTGGTTGAATATTAGCGGGAACTAGAGGTTTGAGGAAAGAGGGGAAGGTGCAAAACAGCCATTTAGAGAGTGAGAGAGAGTGAGCTAGGAATACAAAATAGACTCTCTAAACAGTACTGAGGGTCCACTTCAGGTTAGAGGGTCATAATTTTGAAATAAGAGCCGTCAGGATGGATTTAATCAAGACTAGGATTTTTCCAACTGTGTACAAAATTCATGATAGGGCAAGGGAGTTGAGGCTATGTGGAATGGAGTGAATATGATTGCCAGTGTAATCTAAGCTAAATCATGGAGTAAATAAGGTGACTGGATGATGGTGAAAAGATGGTAACAGGAACAAAAAATAGGGGAGACATCAGATAATAGACAAAAAGATAGAACAATAGTAGCAAAAACATGGTTTTTAAGGCTGAGTGATATATATATATATATATATATATATATATATATATACACGGGGGTTTATTGCACTATTTTCCTCTACTTCAGGGTACATTTGAAAATCTTCACAATGCAAAGCAGTCTTCTTAAGTGGTAAGATGGTTTATACAGTCAAAGTTGTTGGAGTCAGCGCTCCGGACGAAGTGAGCTGGGTAGAGAGGAGGTAGAGCCCCAGGGCCATCTGACGGAAACTGAGGATGGAGAGCACGGAGGAGTTGCAGGTGTCTCTGGTAACAGGGCCTAGGGTATGAATGAACGGGAAGCTAAGTGACCAAGGGAAGGTGGAGGATAAGAGCATTGCAGAAGAGGAGACAAAGGGCCCCAGAGGTCAGGCCACCTTAATGATTATCTGCATGGATAATAAAAGCACTGAAAGTAGTGCTAGAGAGCATGACAGTGAGCCAGATGCAAAACCTTCAGAGAAAGGAGACGGACTCTGGGGAAAAGCTTGACAAACTGGTGGCTTTTCCAGGAGAAACCATTTGGAAGTTACAATGCCAGTGAGAAAGACACAGATACCCCCCCGCCCCCG